AGTTCATGTTCCGGATCTTTACTTAGTTGATCTCTTCACTTTTGTGAATGTGCTTCCACTAGTCTAATCTCTCATTGTCAAGGTCATGTTCCGGATTCTTACTTAGTTGATCTCCACTCTTTGTGCATGTGCTTTCCACTAGTCTAGTCTCTCATTGTCAAATTTCATGTTCCGGATCTTTACTTAGTTGATCTCTTCTCTTTGTGCATGTGCTTCCATTAGTCTAGCCTCTCCTTGTCAAAGTTCATGTTCCGGATCTTTACTTAGTCTGTTCTCTTTGTGTATGTGTTTCCACTAGTCTAGTCTCTCATTGTCAAGTTCAAGTTTGATGTGATGTACCTGATCTATACTTAGTTAGTCCCTTCTCTTTGTGCATGTGCCTTCCACTAGTCTAGTCTCTCATTACCAAGCTCATGTTATGTTCCGGATCTTTACTTAGTTGATCTCTACTCATTGTGCATGTGCTTTCCACTAGTCTAGTCTCTCATTGTCAAGTTCATGTTCCGGATCTTTACTTAGTTGATCTCTTCTCTAGTCTAGTCTCTCATTGTCAAAGTTCATGTTCCGGATCTTTACTTTGTTGATCTCTTCTCTTTGTGCATGTGCTTCCGCTAGTCTAGTCTCTCATTGTCAAAGTTCATGTTCCGGATCTTTACTTAGTTGATCTCTTCTCTTTGTGCATGTGCTTCCATTAGTCTAGCCTCTCCTTGTCAAAGTTCATGTTCCGGTCTTTACTTAGTTAGTCTCTTCTCTTTGTGCTTGTGCTTCCACTAGTCTAGTCTGTCATTGTCAAGTTCAAGTTTGATGTGATGTACCTGATCTTTACTTAGTAGTCGTTTCTCTATGCGCATGTGCCCTTCACTAGTCTAGCCCCTCATTGTCAAAGTTCATGTTTGATGAGATGTTCCAGATTTTGTTTAGATTATCTCCTTCCCTATGAGTATGTGTCTTCCATTGGTCTAGCGTCTCATTGTCATGTTATTCCAAGAAATACTTATTCAATCTCTCATTATGGGACGGGTGATCGGCGTTTAGTTGCTGCTACGGGAAGCTGATTTAATTAGGAGTTCTTCTTTGTTTTCTCCCACCCTCTCTCTCTCTCTCTCTCTCTCTCTCTCTCTCTCTCTCTCTCTCTCCTCTCCCCCCTCTCTCTCTCCTTCTCCCTCTCCTCCTTTCCCTCCTTCCTCCTCTAGACCCTCTTTCGCCCCCCTTTACTACCTCGCCTCCTCTCTCCCTCTCTCCCGTTCCCTCACTTGACATATGACTAACCCTTCTCCCCTCACTTGGAAACATTGCTCGGGTACGGACGGTAAAACGAAATCAGACTTCACTTGGTGGAGGAAGAGGGCAAGGGGAGGATAGCCGGTCCCTTGTGCCACCAAGGAGGCAAAAGAGAAAGGACGTTTGAAAAAGTGGGAGAAAGGCGAAATATGGAAGAGAACATAAGTTGAAAGTGAGGTCAGTTTGACTCAACCATTTCCCCCAGTGCATGACTATGAGAAGAGAATGGGCTGATTGAGCAACAAGAGGGAACAAAGAGYAGCCAAAGAAATTGAAAAGATAGGCATGCGGGAAGGACTATGTGTTGACCCCCAACGGGGGATTGTATGGATCTTCTTGCTTGTGTGGGATTGTGCAGGTGAGTGATGGCTAGAAATGCCTTGAGCGGGATAGGGGCGAGAGGAACTGGGCACCAAGAGGGAAAGGGAAGAGGGACAAAGGGGCTATGGGACCCTTGACCTAGAGCCAACTCATGAAAGTGATTTTTGCGCTTGAGGCTAGGAAGTATGATTGAGAGTGCAATCGTACCAAGGAAAATGTGATGTTGCGTGTGCATGCATGCGAGGACCCCGAAAAGACTAAGGGGTCTACTTCAATAAGGAGGGAAGCAAATTGTGAGACCCGATGGATGCATAGAGGCGAGGGGGAGGACGGCTCCGCCACACCCTGGTGACGCCATATAGTCACAATGCTTAGGGAAATGGTGCGTGGCCTAAGGATGACACTTAGCCTACGCACAAGAGAAGAAAAACGCTCAAAGAATCCTTGGACTGCCTGCGTATTGGAAAGAGCAATTGCATGAGAACACAACAAAGAATCAAAAAAAAATCAGCATTGCGGAGCGACCAGCGAGACAACCACCCGGCGGGAGGGCTGAGCTACATCCCCAATGTCAAAGCTCTCTCGCGCGATGGCCCACCCCCATCCATCTCAAAGCACTAGGTGGTGGTGACCGCGGGACGAACAGCCCGCGCCCTGAGCATGAGCGTGGGCGGGCCGAGCCAACTAGGACCCGAAGTGGGGTCGACTAAGACTCGAAAGTCTACCGGGGTTTGGCCCTACAACGTCCATCGATAGGATTAGCAAAATTGAATGAATCTTCCGCTAGAACATAGAAATATACACTACTGCATGCCGACGGGTGTGTGGGCACTTGGCGCTGAACCACACAAACGTGGCCAACCTTGCATCTCTATTATATTGTCTATCTATACGTTCTTGTTATGGATGGTTTGTTATGATTTGTGGAGGAAATGAGAGAGCGAATTTTGCGTGCTGTAAAACATGCACACCATGGCAACCAGCCGGACGTCTGGACCGGAATCCAGACGGTCCGGTTATCTGGGTATGGGTCTGGTGTCTGGTCCGGTAGGTCTGGATTGGGCCCAATTTTGAAAAATTCGAATTTTTTTGGGGGGGGCCTAGAACGTTTTTCGGGTCCTAGGCCGCCCCCAAAAAATGGCCCCTGTATTTTTTGGCCGTTACAGGGCCTACCGGACGCCGCCAAACACCTTCAACAGCTCCCTCTGCTGAGTCCGATTCCGAAAATGAAGCGCTGGCTGCGAAGCGCCACAGAACATTAAGCTAGAGAGAGAGAGAGAGAGAGAGAGGCATACTGCACAGCCACACGAGCCTGCAGGGCCTGTCCCGCAGTCTCAACATAAAAGCCTAGAAACAAGGGCTTACAGGCCCCGTGTCATTTCAGCCTGAGAGACTGAAAAACGAGGGCCTGCAGGCCCTATGTCGTTTCAGCCTAAAACAGGGCCTGAGTCTTTTCAGCCTGAAACGGAGGGCCACTTTCGGGCCCTCATAAGATCGACCTGCCCTAACACTCAGGCACCAAACCAGGGTTTCCGAACAGGCTATTTTTGGCCTGTTCCCCACGCCAGCCTCAGCAGGAGCTGCAGCGGTAGACCCTGGCTCACTTCGGCATTGGCAAGAGCAGCCTCCTGGACTGCCCCGCCCTGCAGCTGCAGGCAGTCAGGAGGCAGGCCGAGTAGTACATAGGGAGTTCCCATGCACTTCACGAGCAGTCAGAGGTAGAAGGCAGGAGGCAGTCTTCAGGATTCGGCAGCAGCACTCTGGAGGAGCGCGGCAGGAGTAGCGTTAGCGCTAGTAGTAGTCTTCAGCGCCGGGCGCTAGTAGCTGCAGGAGTAGTCTTCAGCGCAGGGCGCTAGTAGCAGTAGTAGTAGTGTTGGAGAGAGATGGGTGGCGGAGGCCAGTGAGACTTACCTGTGGCGCCATAGCTCCAGCTCCATCTTCGAGGTACCTGCATCAAGGTGCCAGCTTCACAGGTTGGTACCGGAGAGAGAGAGAGAGAGAGAGAGAGAGAGAGAGAGAGAGAGAGAGAGAGAGAGAGAGAGAGAGAGAGAGAGAGAGNAGAGAGAGAGAGAGAGAGAGAGAGAGAGAGAGAGAGAGAGAGAGAGAGAGAGAGAGTTCTTCTTCTTCCTCTTCTAAGTCCACCATCTCTTCCTCCCCTCTCACTACCTGACTTCCCAGTATCTGCGGACTATGAGAGAGAGAGAGAGAGTTGTGACTTGAGACTTGACGACATTGGATCCAGACTCGACATTGGGATTCAGACATTTGGCGAGGGACTATTTGGGCCTATGCCGAAGACTTGGTGTTGACGACATTCCCATCTTCCCCTCTTCTTCGTCTAACCCCCCTCTTCTTCGTCTGTGTATAGTTGGGGGTTGGCGCATTCTTCCTGTGTGAGCGCCAGGCCCCTTCACACCAGGGAATGATGATGATGTATGTTTGGGGCTGCATTGCAACGTTGATTGATCGGATCATTGGTATTTAAGTCTTCCGCTACGCTATCTTGTACTTTGTGAGAGAGGTCGGTTCTTGTTCTGGTTTGCACCTTCACGGTATGCAACAGTTTGGTATCGTAGCGGACCTCTCATTCAGAGGACCCGCTCAATCAAGTAGCCAGCTTGCTTGATCTATTGATCACTCATTAGTAAATCAAGTAGGACTTTGTCAAACTCTGAATTTTTTTCTCACAACAAATATCTGAAAATTTTTGATAATCGCATTTCGTTTTACCTGAAAATTTCTGATATTAGTATTTCGTTTTCATGCAACAAATATCTGAAAATTTCTGATAATCGCATTTCGTATTATCTGAAAATTCTTGATAGTAGCATTTCGTTTCTCTGATATTCGCATACATAGCCGAAATTTTCTGATGTTAACATTTCGTTTTCTAGGCATATTAGGATAATGATAGAGGTGGTCATATTCTCGGAAACCGGATTTATTCTTTTCTGAAAATCGAATCTCCATTCTACGTCGCCATTTTTTTTTTCTTTCGAAAATCGAAATCTTGCGAAGCCTACCAGCATTTCGTTTTAGGCATATTAGGAGGTTGCCATATTCTCAGAAACTGGATTTAGTTCTTTTCTGAAAATCGCATCTCTACTCTATTTCGCAAAATTTTTTTTTTTCAAGATCGCATGTTTGTGAAAGCCGAAACTTTGTGGAACCTGGCCTTGATCTCGCTCATAGTACTCTTCGGACATACCTCACTCATAGCAGATCGACAGATAAACAAAAAAAAAAAAGAAAAAAAAAGGGGGGTGATCCTCTTTTTTCTTTTTTTTATTTATTTTATTCTGTTAATTAGGATCGGGAGGAAAGTATAGCTTGGTTGGTTACCTGCCTGCGTTTTCCCTCCCACCCATCCCTTCGCATGCATTCCCGGTTTGGTACAGTGCCACGTCAGCAGTACCACGTCAACAGTGCCACAGTGCCACGTCAGCAGTGCCCAGCCACCATGACGGGCTCAGCTCTGGGCATGCCAGGCCAACTGGCCAATGAGTCAATTGTCGAGTACCGACAGCGTTTCGAAGCTCAGCTCACACTGATCGAGGCTGAGGAACAACGTCATGCGGCAGCCGAGGCTGCCCGCCTACAAGGTGAAGCGGCGGCAACAGCTGAAAAGCAGCGGGCCGAAGCCGAAGCAAATACCCAGGCACGCCGCAAGGAGGCCCAGGATCTGTTACAGCGGCATGAAGCCACAAACATCGAAAAGCTCAAGTTTTGGCATTTTGAACCATCTGAGCAGCACGACGACGCGACACCGGAAGAGCAACACAAGGAGTTCCTGGCCAAACTTGTGACCCGGTTGGCTTACACTTGTAACCACCTGCAGTCCGAGTTGGCGAATCTCCGACGGGCGGTGCAGAACCACAAGGGTCTACACGAGGATGCTACACGGACACTTGATTCCTGTGTACAGGACTTGGAGCAAGGTGCACCAAGACCAGATGTTGGCGAGTCCAGTAGTGCACCCTCTACCCCCCAATTGGAGGAACGAGTTGACCACGCAGTCGCAATGCTCGGCGACATCAGCACCTTCGCTGCACCAGCCACCATCAGCAAGCAGCTGGACACCTTGAAGACCGAGGTTCAGCAACTGCACCAGCTTCCCAACAAGGATGGCAACACCGCGCAGCACTACAAGTTGCCGACATTCCAAATCGAGAAGTTCGATGGTTATACGCATCAAGACCCGGTCCTCTGGTGGGAGGGCTTTACGACGCAACTTCAAATTCTTTTCGTCCCCAAGCACTCGTACATCGGCGCGCTGTTCCTCAACTCCAAGGGCGAAGCACTCGTACATCGGCGTGTTGTTCCTCAACTCCAAGGGCGGATGCCAGATCTGGCTCAGCCACCTGGCAACCATTCACGGCGTCTAGGTCGCAGATCCGAAAGATGAGATCTCTCGGGAAGAATTAACAAGGCTATGGAAGAAGCGGTTCATCGTGGACGACGCCCCCGCGCTCGCCATGAACCGCCTCTTCAGCATGACGCAAGGCAACACATCGACACACGACTGGCTCACGAAATGGCAAAAGATCGCGGCGACGCCCAATCTCGAATTGCCATTTTCGCATCTGCGCCGCGAGTTCTGCAACCGGTCATGGGCCACCTTGAGCCGGGCACTTGGTGATTGCGAGCAATACGCAACCTTCGCCGAAATCATCGACAAGGCAAGGGAGATCATCAAGACCAATAGGGCGGCTGCACACGAGAAGTCAGCATGGCAGCCAACCTATGTGGAGAAAGGTAAATCTGGTCCGCGTCCGCAGCATGTCGCTGCAGTCCACACGGACAACATTGTGGAAGACCCGGCATCCACCCAAGCATCACGTGAGGGAGATCAGGTGGCTTCTGTCCAGCCGCGAAGCAACAACAACTCCCGAGGAAAAGGGAAGGCGAAAACCGCATCGCCGGCCGAAAACGGACAGCCAGCACCATGGGTCAAGTTTCACTTGACCGAGGCCGAATACAAGTGGCGCGGCCGGTATGGCTGCTGCTATTGGTGCAACAGCACCAAGCACAAGACCTCCCAATGCCCGGATCAAGGGAAGGAGGATGTTTGGTCTCGCATCAACTCGGGAAACTGAGTTGCGCGGGAGGTGAGGCCACTCCACCTCTCACTCCGCCAAATTTGGCCGCCTTGCTAGCGACCTGGTACGCGCTGGCCTTGGGCCACGCGTTCGGAAGAAGTCGCAGCCCACGCAAGTCACGTTGGCCGACGGTCACACGCACAAGTCAATCGACCGACGCATTGATGACGTCTCCGTGTACTTTGCGCCGCATGCAAGCGAGGTCGTGTTCTTCGATATTTTGGACACCAAGTTCGACATGATCTTGGGCATGTCATGGCTGTGAAGAGAGGATCACCCGGTGAACTTCTACCGTCGCACTGTTCACGTTCGTAATCAAAACGGAGTACTAGTCCCATGCACGGTGCCTCCTCCTCACCCTTCGATCAGCTGCCACGTGGTGTCCGCCGCAAGCATTCGAGCTTCCATCATCCGGGATGACATCGAGGAGATAGGGGTGTGTTTTCTCCACGCCCTCCCGCCCCAAGACATTCCATCGACGGACTCACCACCGGACCCACGCATCACCGAGCTTCTCGACGCCTACGGCGATGCGTTCGAAACACCGCACAGAGTAGTATCGGATCAGCCCATCCGCCACGAGACCATCCTCGAGGAAGGGGTCGTACCTCCACGTGGTTGCATCTACCGAATGAGCGAGGAAGAGTTAAGTGTGCTAAGGGCACAACTCGGCGATCTGCTCGAGAAAGGCTGGATTCGGCCTAGCTCTTCGTCATACGGTGCTCCCGTTCTCTTCGTCCGGAAGAAGAACAAGGAGTTGCGGTTGTGCATCGATTATCGCAAGCTCAACGCGCAAACCGTCAAGAACGCCGGCCCTCTTCCGTGCATCGATGACCTCCTCGAATGACTAGGCGGCGCCAAGTTCTTCTCCAAGCTTGACCTCAAATTGAGATATCACCAACTCGAGATCTAGCAGGAGGACGGCTACAAGACCGGGTTTAAGACGCGATATGGGCATTTCGAATGGCTAGTTATGCCTTTTGGCCTTACGAATGCCCCGACCACATTCCAAGCGGCTATGACAACGGAGTTCCAACACATGCTGGATAGATTCGTACTCATCTACCTCGACGACATCTTGGTGTACAGCCGGAGTTTGGACTAGCATGTGGAGCACATGCGCACCGTTTTGGAGCGGCTACGACAAGCCAAGTACAAAGCCAACCACGACAAATGCGAATTCGCGCGGCAAGATCGAGGCCATCCGCGTAGGGCCCGAGCCCACCAACACAACGGACGCCCGTTCATTCATGGGGTTGGCAGGCTACTATCAACGCTTCATCACCTTGTACTCAAGGATTGCCGCACCTATGACGAGATTACAATCGCCAAAGGTGCCATTCGTATTCGATGACGATACATGCCGGTCATTTCAAGCACTCAAGACGGCCATGCTCATGGCACCCGTCCTTAGCATCTACGACCACACCCTACCAACGAGAGTGACGACCGACGCTTCCGGCTATGGCATTGGGGTAGTCTTGGAACAACACGACGGCGGCAACTGACACCCTGTGGAGTATTTCAGCCACAAAGTGCCTCCCATCAATTCACTTGATGATGCAAGGAAGAAGGAGCTGCTCACGTTTGTGATGGCTCTCAAGCGATGGCGGCACTTCCTCCTTGGGCGTCGAAGGTTCACATGGGTCACGGACAACAACCCATTGACCTACTACAAGACGCAGGATACGGTGAGAAGCACGATCGGACGATGGATGTACTTCATCGACCAATTTGACTTCACACCGAAACATCTCCTCGGCCTCTCCAATCGTGCAGCAGATGCACTCTCGCGAAGAACTGATCTTTGCGCGATGACACGTCATGCTTTCGCATTTGACGAGGAACTCCAGCGACACTTCGTCCGGGGCCGCCACGTTGTATGCGCAACTATCTTCAGATCACCCGCCGGCCAGCCACTTTCGCATTGTCGACGGGTACTTGCTCCTCCACTCGAGAGGCAAGGACTTATTGTGTGTCCCACGCGACCGTCGTCTTCGGACTCGCCTTCTCCGTGAGTACCATGACTCACGACTCGCCGGCCATTTTGGAGTCAATCGCACTATTGCACGACTTCGGCAACGATTCCGATGGCCTGACCTCATTACCGATGTCATTCGGTATTGCGACTCTTGCGAAATTTGCCGACGAAGCAAGCCCCGCAACCGCTATCCCTACGGCGAGTTGCGCCCGATGCCTATCCCACAGGAACCCGGCCTCTCCATTGCCATGGACGTCACCGGTCCGTTTCCCCGCGACCGGATTGGGCACGACGGCATCCTCACTGTTGTTGACCGTTTGAGTAAGTATGCGTGATTTCTTCCTTGCAACGTACTACGCCACGGCTCCCAAACCTGCGCGCCTCCTACACACCAGCTGGATTTGCAGCCACGGCGTGCCGGAAGACATCGTCAACGACCACGACACTCGCTTCATGTCGGCATTTTGGACTTCTCTCATGCAGGAATCCGGCACGAAGATGAAACCAAGTTCGGCTCGGCATCCACAAACGGACGGGCAAACGGAGCGGGCACATCAAACCGCTTAAATGATGCTTTGTACGCTCATCCGTCCAAATCAGAAGGATTGGGTTGATCGCCTCCCCGACATCGAGTTCGCCTACAACACCTCGCTGTATCCGGCGATTGGCGTAACTCCATTTGAGCTGCACCACGGTGGCCGGAAAGGCCGTATCTTCGCTGATCTTCTCCTCCTACGAACAGCCGACATAGACGCTGCTTGGTCCCCCGCTTCCGTTCGGAAGTACAGGGAATTGCTGGCTCAAGCCCGCGCGAACATGCAAAAGGCTCAAGTCCGCATGCAACAGCAAGCCAGGCATCGCGTGCCATATCCCATCCGCGCCGGTGATCTGGTGTGGGTCTCCGCAGAAGAGTTTGCACTCGAACAGGATGTTTCACGCAAACTGCTTCCCAAGTGGTTTGGACCATGGCCCGTAACATCAGCCGCGGGTGATGAGCCCGATGACCCCTCATTTGTGATCAACATTCCCCCGCATCTGACGGTCCATCCAGTCTTTCACGCCTCGAAGCTGGCAACATATACACCAGCCAAGAGGGACAACTTCCCGGGCCGAAGATCGCAAGATCCTCCATCTATGGATGGTCATCAGGAGGTTGACCGCGTCCTCACGGATCGCAAGTACGGCAGCAAGCCTCGGCAGTACAAAGTTACATTGTAAGCATGCGATCCCGACGACACTCGGCGGATTTCAGGAACAGATTTGAAAGCATCCGCACCGCTGATCTACACTCACTACGAGCGACAAAGGTTAGCTCAAGGACCTTCACGACCTGCCCCTCCCACCCGGATTGTGGTCCCTCCCTCAGACAGACAGCTTCGCCCTCACAGGTAAGCTCTGTCTTTCAAGGAAGGGGGGGTGTGGCATACTGCGCAGCCACACGGGCCTGCAGGGCCTGTCCCGCAGTCTTAGCCTAAAAGCCTAGGAACAAGGGCTTACAGGCCCCGTGTCGTTTCAGCTTGAAAGACTGAAAAACAAGGGCCTGCAGGCCCTATGTCGTTTCAGCCTAAAACAGGGCCTTTCAGGCCCTGAGTCTTTTCAGCCTGAAACGGAGGGCCACTTTCGGGCCCTCCTAAGATCGACCTGCCCTAACACTCAGGCACCAAACCAGGGTTTCGGAACAGGCTATTTTTGGCTTGTTCCCCACGCCAGCCTCAGCAGGAGCTGCAGCGGCAGGCCCTGGCTCACTTCGGCATTGGCAAGAGCAGCCTCCTGGACTGCCCCGCCCTGCAGCTGCAGGCAGTCAGGAGGCAGGCCGATTAGTACATAGGGAGTTCCCATGCACTTCACAGGCAGTCAGAGGTAGAAGGCAGGAGGCAGTCTTCAGGATTCGGCAGCAGCACTCTGGAGGAGCGCTGCAGGAGTAGCGTTAGCGCTAGCAGTAGTCTTCAGCGCCGGGCGCTAGTAGCTGCAGGAGTCGTCTTCAGCGCAGGGTGCTAGTAGCAGTAGTAGTAGTAGTAGTGTTGGAGAGAGATGGCTGGCGGAGGCCAGTGAGACTTACCTGTGGCACCATAGCTCCAGCTCCATCTTCGAGGTACCTGCATCAAGGTGCCAGCTTCACAGTTTAGTACCGGAGAGAGAGAGAGAGAGAGAGAGAG